CGCTAACGGAACCCACTTGTCCCGCTCTGCCTTGGGCCTCATTTCTCGGACCTTGACAACAGCCGTAGCGACTAGTAGTCTTAGGCAGGTAGAATGGCGGCAAAGGATGTTGCATGAACACGTCAGAAAACTACTCAATTTATTTTATTTTTTTGTCACAGGAGGGTGAAGATACGAACATATGGTGACTCCAGTGGGCTCCTTGTAGTCGCTCCTTTCGCGACTCTGCGCTGCATTTTCCGCCTCCTCTTCTTCTGCTGCTGGCGGTGGCTAGCCCGCTGGACAACTGTAGTTTTCTATCTAACGTTCCTTCCTGAATAAACATTTTCTAGTTGCCTTCTTTCATTCTTCGCCAGGGAAAGTCACACTACCAAACAGGGAGTTGATTTCTTCTTTTCCAGTCACGGCAAGCCGTCCATACGTTCTGTTTACCAGACACTGATTTAAGACAACGAGCCCGTAGCCCAGTGGGTTAGAGCGTTGGGGTCCTGATAAACAGGTCACGGGTTTGAGCGTCAACTGACACACCATCTGGAGTCGGGAAACGACTGGCTGATGATGGCTAATGAGCCAGAAATGGTCACTCCAGTTCAAGAACTGATTCTTCCACCTGGTTGCCGTTGCCGTTCCCAGATATGACGGCTACCCTTCCAGAGCTGCATATCTAAGACTCCAGACAACTGATGGACCGAAATGACGTGGTTTGTCTTGCCGGGTGGATGTAGCTTACAAGTAAGGAATCTCGTGTCGAAAATTTTGACTCTCCTATTGAGCTAAAAGTGAGAAACGGACCAGCGACTGATGATTTCCTAGCCTTTCTTGTAATACAGAGGCTGATTAATGCTTTTGCCCAATGATCATTTTAACTTCTGCAAACGTGTTTCTGTAGGAATCCGTCGCCCAGAGCAATTGCGCTGACTCATGCTGCCTTTCGTGCGATGAGCTTCGCTCGCTGCGCACTATTGTCCTTTTGCACGCTTGATGTCATCTCACCGCGTTTACGCTTGTAGGTAATCGATACTCCTGCCTCAGTTGATTGGCGCCAGCCGATTGATTACTCATTACACAGTCTAAACTTGTCGTATCCACACTTTTGCACCTGCATGGCTGGCTATGGTACGCGGCGCCACTGTAAAGCTTCTTGAGCAGTAAAGTTGTTCGAGTTCAATCAGTCTTTCCAGACTTGTTATTTGGGGATCCTTCTGGTGTTGAGACAACAATCAGCACTCAATATTTCCATGGACAGCACGACGCGCATAAAACACGATGCAGCGTTTTGGTTGAGTCATATGATCTTCACTGCAAATCTTACAGCTATGGGCCATATTGGCAGAACGCTGGTAGGCTGACATTCAAAATTCTTTTCGTTAAGCGTAGGCCCTAGTTTGATGTTTCAACTGGAGACCAACTAAAGAGTGAGACCGTAAGTGATGACTGACCTCTAAGTGTAAAACATGTCAGGAGAAAGCGCCGATAACCTGAAATATTTCCTGCTGACCTTCGGGATTGACTCTAGTTTGCGCATCGCAAGGTCAGAAATCTAATAAGCACACTCAGGGCGGATTTTTATGAATTTTCCGAACATTTTCTCGAAGTTCTGGTTGACCCCATAAGCAGGCACTCGTTCAATTTCTTTCGATCCCTTCAGCCTTGGATTTTGCTCTTCATAAAGTGGAGTTAAGATTCAATTAACTGGAATGTATGCCAACTGCAAGTGTTTCCTTCGGTCTCCCACGTGCCCGAGTTATC